CAGGAAGGCCTGGAGGAATGTGGTCCATGGGGTCACGATGGGTCAGACATGACTTCGCAACTAACAACAACAACAACCCCTAATCATCTTTGTTGCTGTTCTCTTCAACCTATGACAATTTGACTTTTAGGAGACACCTGGACAGCATTCCTCATGATTGCAGGTGCCTTAAAGCCTTCCATTCCCTCTTCCAGTAGCATGGTTTCACCCGTCCATTAAATCCAGCCAACGGAGAAATTGCCGACGAAATATTAGCGTAACTTCAACCAACCTGGAAAGTTTCAGTAAAACTATATCTGATCCTTCAGGCCCGTAGACCAGCTGGGAAATATTCAGGACTTGCTTATGCTTTTCTTCATGAGCTCTTTCCACGTTATGGATGCCGAGCCAAGCCTGATAGTCTTTGAGATTATGCCTTAAAGAAAGCAAACATAATTGGATGATGAGTCAATAATAAAAAAAATAAAATAAAATAAAGCAGAATGGAAGAGAGATTAGAGCCACAGACTCCTCACTTGGCTTATTTGCTTTGTGGTGATCTATTTAGATAACCGTTGCTAGATTTAAACAAAAGTAGCTTTTAGGGGGTCAGTTCATCCCACCCCCCACCCCCCAAGCAAAATAAACCACTGAATTCAGGAGGTTGTTGCCATATTTTAGTCTCCCGAAGCGGAGAATGGAACTATTCCAGCACTTCACGCTGTGAAAACGGTGCCATCTGGATTAACCGTTGGGTTTTTACTCTGAACAGACGTTGAACTATAACAACACCAGTGCAAATAGTTTAAAACCCAACTGTTACCGAGTAAAAATATGTCCAATTCCAGGGTCGGACCTCACCAAGGAAAAGGAGACTTCTTTAGATATGGGTTTATCTAGAAAAGCGGAACGTTTCTAGGAAAATTCGCAAAAAAATGACCATCACTAGAACTTCACCTGATGGGACCCACACTTGACCCATCACAAGTTCCACAAGACCCATCACAAGTCCTTCACTTGACGTGACCCGCACCTGACCCATCACAACACCCATCACTAGGTTGTCACTTGATACAACACTCAATCCCAAGACCTGTTGACCACACGGAGCCCTTATAAACAGAGGAATATTGACATTCCCTAAATTCCACTAAAGATGTGACCTATCCTGGTAACGAAACATTCAGAAGCCAACCCACAATCTCGGAGAATGAACCTTCACCCTCACCCTCCACCTGAGCTGCAGATATTCGCCGCCATTGCAAAATAAAATAATGGTCCACTCTACTCAAATGCTCTGAACATCCCAGAGTTCCATTGTATAGAAGTAGGGAATAGTTTAACGTTTCTCCCTCCCTCCCTTCCCTTTCTTGTGATGTCAGAAAATCAACATTTGGTTCTGACCCAGCTCCCTAAACATGACAAAACCTCTGTATTTAAATCAATGATTCCTTTATTAGGATGTGCCAGCAGCCCCGGCAAAAATACTTCTCCCTCAACGCAGGCTAACAAGTCCATCGGACTGGAAGATGAGCAATTGTCTGCCACATGTATTCATCTTTGTCCCCTGCCTTTTATCCCCGAGCTAGGAAAGGGCTTTGCTAGCAGTGGTGGTTCTTCCGTCCCGAGGACCGGCCCATAGATTTCCACTGTTCTCCTCTCCTCTGCCTTCTGCACATCCCCGNATAACATAACATAACATAACATAACATAACATGATGTTGGTCATTTTCCACCCCACTTCCGATTCGTCATCTCTATGTGCCATTGCATCAGTGAAGAAGGAGATAACCTTCAGAGTAAGCTTGGACATAGAGAGCTAGTAGAACCTGTTATTGGATCAACACCCAACCCATGTTGGTATCCATTTATGGACTCCTCCAGAAAAACTACATCCTCATTGTTGGGATGGCTTTCCCTACCACGATGGAATGGACCACGTGAATTAGTTGCTCAACCAGGTCGCAGATCCAGAAAGCCACTGGTAAAGGAATGAAAACACAATGAAACAATGTAAGGGATGACATTGTCCCCGACTTATGCACACATTTCATGGCGCCTTAAAGATGAATTCAGAGCTGGTTGTAGGAAAGGAACTGCAAACGTCAGTGTGTGTTTATGCCTGTCAACAAAGCTCTCCTAAACAGCAGCCTAGAAGAACAACAACAACTGGGCTAAGTGTAGACAATGTGCATTTCTCCAGCCACCATGTTAGAAGATTTGCTTTCCTATTCAAGTATATTCAGGAAATAAGTCACGGCATTTGGCTTACCCCACGCAACGCAGCCAGAGGCAGAATGGGACAGGAAGAGCCACAAACATCTGTTAAACTTGACTATTATCAAGTTAATATTTGATGGACAACATTTCCCCTCTCCCACCCACCAGAAAAGTCCAAGTTTTCTCACTCGCAATGCAATTTCCCACTATCCTCCAGTGTCCCTAGAAGTGGCATTTTCCTCCCTCCTTGGTAGGGTTCTTCGGCTACGACCTGTATGTCATTAAGATCTTGTGTATCCATTTGGAGTAGTAAGCCACCTTGACGAATATCCCGGGGCGTTTGGGAACCGCGCATCCTCGTCCGGGAATAATCACTCCCGTTACGATCTTGATTCTATTCTGTTCGCAGACCAGGGGGCCACCGTAATCCCGCTAGAAAGAGAAAAACATAGGAAAAGTCACATAGATGCGTTAACAGAAGAGAGATTACGATGAGAAAAGCTCATTGTAAAAGAAGGAAGAGCTCGCTCATTGAATGTATAAGAGTAGCATAAGAACGCTTGACGGCAAATTANTGTGTGTGTGTGTGTGTGTGTGTGTGTGTGTGTGTGTATACAAACACAATCCCTGCGATCTCAAGGACACACATTACATTTCTCCACAGGTCAGTATATTAGAAGATCAACAAATTCCAGGAGACGGTCAGAAATTTTACAAGTAATCAGATCGATAAAGTCATTGTTAAAGAGACTCAACTCATAGCAAATCTCCCAAGTAGCATTACGCAATACATAATAATACCCCTATACATATTTTATATATAAATTCATATTGTCTTCTGCCCTGCAGAAGCTTATAATATTTCAGAATATTTTTTTATTACACCGAGCAGAAATGCCTGCATACATAATACAAAAATGCCTGCACATATTACGGAGAATACATAAACCTTGTAGAGAGAGAGAAAAAAAATGCAAAACAAATTACATTTATAGTGTCATGAATATTCTTTTCATGTACATCATACAAATATATACAATTTGAAGAAGGAACAGGGCAGCGGAGAGGGAAAACGTTTGCAGAATATCTTACAGTTTGGAAACGTGACAGTAATTTACCCAAGCTTTAAAAAAAAAACGACTAAAGCAAAATTTAGATCTCTCTTGTATTGGATTATATTCTGGTTCAGAGCTAGAAAACGTTAAATTTACACTAAAGATTGGAAACTTGACTTTCATTAATCCACGCCTCATTTTGCATTTGAGGTATTTTAGTTCTCGTAAAGTTCTGGATATGTCACCACATAATTAATTACAAGTCCTTTGAACAAAAGGCCAGCAGAAATACACAGGAGATTTACAGAGCTCATTAGCTGATATTTGTCTGCCTGTTGTGATCTCAAGAAGCTAATATAATAAAGCATCCATTTACAAGGATCTTAGCGTAATAGGGAGTGAACTGAAAATTATGGACAACTTCCCACTTTGCGTGTAGAAGTGCATACTTAAAACGTATTTAAAATGTGAACACAAGAACGACAGGTAGCAAAATATACGTATTATACAGATAGTTGCACAAGAAAACTAAGGTTAGCGATGACTCTCAATATACAATTGAGAGAGCAGGAGTTTGTTTCTAGGCAATAAACATTTATGTGCTTCTAAAAATCTTCTCAGGACGTGATTGCAAACAGAAGTAAACACGCTGAAGAAAACACATCACAGCTCTTTCAACCGTAACACGGATGGGTTTTTTTAAATAGTTGTTTTTTAAAAAAATACACAAGCCAATCTCTGACAGTTCATTGGATGAGAATCCTCACCTTTAACTCTTGAAAAACGAAAGGTTTAAATCTTGAACAATTAAAGGGTGCAAATGTTTGTGTAGCATACGACTGCATGCTTTGGAAAGGATTGTCCGTGGATTATTACCGATAAAATGTACTCTTAACGCTTATAAAGTCAGAATCAAAGAATCTTGGAGGTTGGAGGAATGCTAATTCTTCATGAAGAATAAATTTGATTTATGATCCTTGCCTTAATCTAGATCCTTAAACTCAAATTAAGAAACGTCAAACCGGGAGGAACCGATTTCTAAATTCTCTTTTTTAAAAAAAAAAAAAAGATCAAGGTATTTTATTTTTTACTAGATTCAAATCATCTACTCCAAGATAGTTTTTGTTGGGCACATGGACATGAATTAAGGGTTTTAGTTTAGGATAATTGTTCACAATCTGCTGAGATTTTAAAGGGAAGCCAGCAGATAAGGGATATCGATGCTAACCATTTCTAATGGATATTTTGAAATTTCTGTGCCCAATATAACCTAAAGGGATGACCGGCTGTTTAGCAAAATAGAAAGCTTGCTTTTTCTCCAACCCCAAATCCTGGGTCTAATACTCAAATTTAGAACTTCGTGTGGAAGACTGTCAAATACGAAGAAGTGTAGGGACGAATGAGTGAATGAACGAATAATATCTTACAGCCCAAAGGGCCAGAGATAGTGGTGGAACTATTTAGAAGGCAACGTTGTTGAGAAAGTTTACATTCTAGTGGAGAAGAAGCGGTAGCTGAACTGAAAAGAAATGGGGTGGCATGAAATTTGTAGGTTCAAAATAATAAGACCAAGATTTGCCTTGAAGGAAACAATATGCTTGGTCTCCAAAGAAGTTCATAAGGTAAGATCTAAGATCTAAGATCTAAGATCTAAGATNGGCATAACAGGTTCTAATTAACAGTCCTCGCAGGAGGCAACAGAATCATGGATGTTACGGCAAACACAGGCATGAATCAATGAAATATCATCCTTGTCCTGTTCCTTTCATTTTTCGGCATTCCAAATAATAGGAGTCGGGGACAATAAAGAGGCTTGTTTTTACGTCATCTGCTTCTCACTCGTTCACCCAGGAGGACAAAGTGAGAGATGCTTCAGGAGGCCATCAAGAGACTCAGGGAGGTCCATGTTGAGAAGATGTCTTATCATCACCACTGTTCTTTCACGGTATCCAGGATAACAGCTGGAAAGAAGGGAGAAGATCGCTCCAAGAAACCTCATGATGGAAAGAAAGAAAGAATAGCATGGACGGAAGACACCATGAAGGATAACTCTACTTTTGCAAGGTAGACAGCAAAGTGTTTTGGTTGGTTTATCTCCAAGAACTTCTGAAAGGGAGGAGACTTTCAAAATGATTTCACGACGTGACTCTGAGAAACAGAGTGTCCTTGACTTATAACCATTCGCTTAGTGGGACCATTCACTGAAAAAAGATACTTGCTCTTACTAGCATTGCATAATCATGTCATCAAAATTCAGGCACTTGGCCACTGACATGTACTTACGACGGTTGAAACATCGCGGGGGGGGGTGTTTCGTGTGATCGCCAACGACGACACCTCCAGCTGGCTTCCTGGACAACCAAAGTCAAAGCTGGATTTGCTTAATGACCACGTGATTCACTTACCAACGGAAGTGGTTCCCTTAACAACTTGGCAAAAAAACAAAAAACGGAGAAGACTCAACTGTCTGCTTAGCCACAACATTTCTAATCCCATCTGTGGGATTAGACAATTGAGGATTGTAATTGTTTAAATTTTTAAAAAAAGGGAAATTAAATTAAAAAAAAGGGAAAAACACCGAGGTGATAAATGGATTCTATCTGTAATCTGTAATTTGCAGAAATTGAGTATCTTTCTTTCTTTTTCTTTCTTTCTTTCTTTCTTTCTTTTTCTTTCTTTCTTTTTCTTTTTCTTTTTCTTCTTTCTTTCTTTCCTTCCTTCCTTCCTTTCTTTCCTCTCTCTCTCTTCCTTTTTTCTTTTCTTTTCCTTCCTTCCTTCCTCCTCCCTCTTCCTCTTCTTTCTTTCTTTCTTTCTT